TTTTGTGCTATCTCCTACTACACACGGGACCTCATTTTATACGAAGTCAAAGGAAAGACCGGTCTCCACGTCCCTTGGTGGGATTCGATTCCTTACTTCGCGACTCTATAGAAAGATACTCAAACTACTGCGCCACGCGGGCAACACTTTGGCTATAGAATCATAAATTAAAAATTCATAAATATAAAAAAAAATACAAGTTTACATGTTGTTTCACTACACACTGTACTTATTTCTGCACTTCAAATATGTTCATGCTATGCAAAATTTTAATGTTCATATTGCAAAATTATGCTGATGATACAGATGTATTTTTTTTTATGAATAAATGATGAAATCCAATTAATAGCATTTTTCATATTTTCATCTGCCAGTTATTTGAATTTTATAAATGATTATGGTATAACAATTTTTGACAAGACTTTGAATTAGAGATTTAATCACATGGACATGTTCTAGAATATAAACTTCTAATTTTTCTAAGTTACAAAGTTATTATCGGAAAGGACTGCATTAATGGACAGACTTATTGTAAGAGAGAAAAGTTGATTCCTGTCAACAACTACGTCCCTCAATACCAAGTTTTTGTTAAAATGTTAAATATTTATGCGCCTGAATTTATTTGGGGCATATATAAGTTTTGTCCTGTCTGTCTGTTTGTGTGTTTAGCTGTTTTTATGCACCCAGATCGAAAGATCCGAGGCGTATATTGTTTTTGTCCTGTCTGTCTGTCTGTCTGTTTGTCTGCAAACTTTAACCTTGGCCATAACTTTTCAACCATGAATGATAGAAACTTCATATTTAATATGCCTACTCCACTACTGAAGCTCTTTGAAATGACACCAAGATCAATGACCTTGTGACCTTGACTGTGACCTATATGCTAAAAATAGAGTTTTTTTTTTGTACAGTTTAACCTTGGCCATAACTTTTGAATCATGAAGGATAGAGACTTCATATTTGGTATGCCTACTCCACTACTGAAGCTCTTTCAAATGAGACCATGGCCAATGACCTTGTGACATTGACTGTGGCCTATACGCTAAATATAGCCTTTTTTGACGGCAAACTATAACCTTCGCCATAACTTTTGAATGAAGAAAGATAGAGACCTAATATTTGGCATGCATACTGCACCATTGAAGACCTTTCACATGACACCATGGTCAATGACCTTGTGACCTTGACTGTGTGTTACATATGCTAAAAATAGCTTTTTTTTTAAACCTTCACCATAACTTTTGAACCATGAAAGATAGAGACTTCATATTTGGCATGCATACTTCACTGATCAAGATCTTTCAAATGACACCATGATCAATGACCTTGTGACCTTCATTGTGACCTTTATGCCAAAAAATTTTTTTTTTTTTAATTTGTTGCCACCGGGCGCAATGTGTTTCACAAACACATCTTGTTCTGTCTGTTGTCAACTTTAACCATCGCCTTAACTTTTGAACCGTTCGAGATAGAAACTTCATATTTAGAACGCATACTCCCCTAATTAAACACTTTCAACTGACACCAAGGTCAATGACCTTGTGACCTTGACCTATATGCTAAAAATAGATTTTTCGAACTTTCGCTTTTACTTTTGAACCATAGGAGATTGACTTTATATTCGGTATGCATACTTCACTAGTTAAGTGTTTGCAAATGACACCAAGGTCAAAGACCTTGTGACCTTGACTGTAACCTATATGCTAAAAATAGCTTTTTTTAAGCTAACCCTGATCTTTTTTGCCGCCGGGCGCACAGAGTTTCACAAGCATATCTTGTTTTCTTTTTTCCTAAAAATATATAGTTTAACCCCCCCCCCCCCCAAAAAAAAATCCAAAAAATTGTATAAAAAAAATTAACGATTGCTTTTGTTTGGTAAAAATAACAAAAACTGGTCTAAGGGAATAAGTTTGTACAAAATGGTTGCCATGGCAACGGAATTGCCTATCAATTTAATATAATTCTAAGTAAAAAATTATCTTAGAGTATCCAAAATATAAATATAAACATTTTTGGAATATTTAATAGATGCTACCAAAATTACAGATTTCTTTATTGTCAATAAAGCCGTGATTTCAGATATAAGGAAATGAGTTTAAATACAGTTTCCATGGTAACGGAATACCTATTAAATTTAAAATATATTTTCTTAGTAAAATATTCACTTTGACATATCCCAAAGTATACATACTATTATTAACTTAAAACAATATAGTTGGTATCAAAATTAAAGATCGGTTAGATAAAAATAGATGGCATAAGATGCCAGATTTAGAGGTCTGAAGGTGTATGATTTTGATGACGGTTTCCATGGCAACGGAACGCCTGAGCAAATTAAATTATATATTTTTAGTAACATCCTTGCCTTATCCCTCTGCATAGTAAAGATAAACATTTTCTGAGTGGGGGCCTTAAATGACCCTTACCCTATATACTTCTTTATAAATGATAACATGTTATAGTAGCATTAGGCTTTTACACATACATGCATATTTGATGTATTCCTTTTAGACAGGATTATTATTGAAATGATTTATGTCAACTGCTAATTGTATAATTGTTTTGCTATTCATTGGCTTATCTTTTCTTTATTATTGTAACAATTTCATACTTGTCTGTTATGGGCTCTAAATTAGAAATAAAATGTTCTGTTCTGTTCTGTACTTAAAAGTGTGCGTAGTTCTTTCAAGTGTGCTCAGATTATCCAATGAATAGAACAGAATATATTTATTATTCCAGATCAAGGCCCTTGTGGGCATATTACATACATGATTATTAAACAGACTGTCAGAGCATATAATACCGGTAGTTATTAACAAAGTGTGATGTAATAGTAGTATTCAGCATATTCTTAGTACATGTTTATATTACTTAATCAATTTAAACATGGTTGAAATAATTGCTAACATGTGAAATTCAAATACATATTATAAAATATAGATAAGTACCACTGTGTACCATTAATGCAAAAAAGCCAGAGATATACATACACAGAAAAATATAAACCGGTACATTTTTTTTTACATATACACACATACATATATACAGGTCCAGTCCAAAGACTATTTCTACCTACGTAGCTATTAATAGCTACGTAGGTATTTAAAGCTACACAAAGTAGCTATTTTTACCTACTTTTTATAACTTCTGCATTTTGCGGCACAAAGACCAAACGGCGCAACTTGGTGAATACCATATCTTTTGATACAGTCACACTAATGATGAATACGACAAAATTTTGGCCAAAAAATGATTACTTCCTGAATCGGCAATTTTACATTAGTTTCTATGCAAAATTGATAAAATACGAAGTAATCATTTTTTGGCCAAATTTTTGTCATATCCATCATCAGTGTGACTATATCAAGAAATTTTGTGCTCACCATGTTGCGCCGTTCCTGCATTTGGCCACAAAGTGCAAGTAAAGCAGAAAGTAGGTAAAAATAGCTACTTTCGGTAGCTTTAAATACCTAGGTAGGTATTAATAGCTACGTAGGTAGAAATAGTCTTTGGACTGGACCTGATATACACATATATATATACCTTATACTGTTGCAATTTAGTGGAATATAATATTAAGTTATAATATATTCCACTAAATTGCAAAAGATACCATGGGACAGTGCATTGGCACATTATAAGCATCATGTTTGCATATATCTTATGACCAAAGTAATATTTATTAGTGTTTGAAGTATACAATTTTTTTTTCAATTTCTTTTAATACATGCATGTAGAAGACACGTACGTAATATTGCACCATTGATCAACTCACAAGGGGATTTAAGAACTGTCAGATTTAAAAAAAAAAATCAGTAACAGTGTTTTTCTCTGAATATAGAAATTTACATGTACCTATTATTATTATTATTAAGAGAAATGCCACATTATATGCATCAGTATTTTATATGGTTTGTCTAACCAGTTCACAAACAGCTGAAAGTACTTCAATATTTTCACAGTTTAGAACCCATCACAACTTATTTTCATTATTTAAATGAGAAAAATTGATACAGTGTTTTTGTATAATATTTATCATATACCAATGTATTCTCTTTAGAGAAGTAGGCGATAGCCTGTCCACTTCTCTAAAGAGAATAATACCGGTGCGTCGATTTACCCAAAAGGACCCAAAAGGACCCAAAAGGAACCCAAAAGGACCCAAAAGGAACCCAAAAGGACCCAAAAGAAAATTAAGAACGACCCAAAAGGACTTGAAATAAAGAGATTAAATGGATATATAATGAATACTTTCATATTTTATTAAAACTAAAACTAGTTTTTTGAGGGTAAAGTGCGTGTTTGGGTTGAGGTGGGAGCCCCCCCCCCCCCATCCCCCACCCCCACCCATCCCCGATACCATATGCCTAGAACATGTCATTAAATAAACTTATTTCTTTATTTATCAAATATCATATTATAAGATATAGGCTAATAAAACAGAAGGAGAAATAGAATAATACAGTGCACTTTGTTAAATTCAGCTAAAAGAAATCAAAGCATATTTGACCAGATTTAATGATTGATGTGTTATAAAAGTCGTATGTTATTTCTTTAAGAAAAGTTGCAACAATATAAATGTATGTTTTTGCCAATTTTTAGGTAAATTTATAATATAATATTCATAATTTAATTCAAATTATTAATTTTCAATGTATTATAATATATTAATTCGAGTCCTTCTGATTTCCTTTTGGGTCCTTTTGGGTTCCTTTTGGGTCCTTTTGGGTTCCTTTTGGGTCCTTTTGGGTAAATCGACGCACCCGAATAATACCAATGATGCGCCCCCGTTCTTTTTCTTAACGATTCATTGTAATTGTTCTCAACACTGTTGACAACAGCTCAAAAGACCCGTCATTATGAACATGATGAAGTCTGTTTCACACTGCACTCTGAAAACAGTTGTGAAAACAGATACTGATCTGAGATAGTCAGTGTAACTTCAACGAAACGGCAAAGATCCGCTCCCTTAATACCCCGTGAATATTTTTACAACATACCTTGACTAGTTTTACGTCAAAATCTCTGTCCTCGGACTCTGAGATGGTTCGCTGAGTTGCCATCCTTAATGTGGTCTCTGAACAGCATAAAATCTCTCTGTCTGCTTGCCTTTACAGCAAAATCTATCTGTAAGTTGCCTGACACTTTCGCTATTTACAATCTGCGAAAACGAAAGTACTCTGTCCATCAGAATTTCCGAAAATCCGAGACAAACGCGTACACATTGTCAATGCAAACGTTTTCCCACTCGGCAAACCTCGGCCGGTGCGTCGATTTACTCAAAAGGACCCAAAAGGACCAAAAAGGAAATCAGGAACGACCCAAAAGGACCCAAAAGGAAATTAAGAATGACCCAAAAGGACTTGAAATAAAGAGAATAAATGGATATATAATATAAACAATTTTATTATTCTATTAAAACTAAAACTATTTTTTGAGGGGAAAGTTTGTGTTTGGGGTGGGGGTGGAAGGTCCCCCACCGACCCCCAACCCACCCATCCCCGATACCACATGTCATAAAATATAATTTATTTCTTAATTTATCAAATATCATATATATATATAGTAAGATATGGCAAAACAGAAGGAGCAATAAAATAATACTTTTTTTAATTTCAGCTAAAAGAAATAAAAGCATATCTGACCAGATTAGTGTTTGATGTGACTTATAAAAGTCGTGTTATTTCTTTGAGAAAAGTTGCGACAATATAAATGTATGTTTTTGCCAAAGGTAAACTTATAATATAATTTGCATAATTTAATTCAAATTATTCATTTTCAATGTATCATAATCACTGATTCTCAAATTATAGTCTCAATTCGCTTTAAATAATGTACAGTGTTTTAAGTAATACAATATTTCTAATAATTTTTATTTTCTGCCAGTCATATGAACTATTGTTGGTTGTTGATTAAAATACAACAATTGTTTGTTGTAACTTGAATGACTGTCTTAGGCGAAAATCGCATTTTATAGCAGAAATCGATATTTACGTTACTGTCGCCGATCATAGTGTAGTTTTCATTTTAAACCAAACTGAAGTTTTAAATCACTTACATATCTTTTTCTTAGTAAGATTGTCCTACATTTGAGTTATATTTTCTGAATATCACACCCTTCACACATATGCGTGTCACAAATTTTTAAAAATTTTAATATATTTATCAAATTTTGATGTCACCGCAAAATTATTACTTTTCTATTTGGAAATTCAAAAGGACTTGAAAGATTGCTGAACTGACTCAATAAGATTAAGTTGTAACTTTTTAACATCATGAACACCTTCCATTTCATGGAATGGTAAAAAAGACACTGTTTATCTGTATTTATAAAAAAAAAAAAATAGCCCCCCTTTTCTTATGAGTCCAATGGTTAAAAAATCCATCGAAATTTACGTGTTAGTATTTATTCACAAATTAAGTAAGAGAACTACACTGATTCCTATGAGTCAAATTGCCTTACACTCAAGCACTAGAATATGCCTTTAATTAACAGTGGAATAATTAAACAACAACATTAAAAGTTACGATAAACCTCAGAAAGATATTTACGTTACCGATATTTACGTTACCAATATTTACGTTACCATGATTTAAAGTAAATTATAATTAAGGATTTAAAAACTAAAAACATGAAGAAATAAACTGTTTCTTAAAATGACATTTTTTTCTGTAACAAGAGTGCAGAAATGCAAATGGAAGTGCACATGCAAAGGTGAACATATTTTACACATTATCTTGTGCATCCGTGTGATTTGAAAATTGAATTGACATAATATTATTCACAAGTAGAATTGTGGTTTATTGATCGAATGTTTCCATTTTGAGCAATTGGTTAATATTGCATAGTTTTAAGTGTAATGCACGTTATCATTCGGAACGTAACTCTGAAACAAAACTTACTTAAAGTTTGTATTTTGCTGTTTGTTTGAACTGATAGTGTATCGTCAACTTAAAAAATCGTTATATACACCTAAATTGTATACCAAGCCAAACATTTTGAAGAAGAAAATATTATTTTTCGCAGAAAATATAATTCCAGAAAACTAGCGCTGCGCTGCATGTAAGGGGGGGGGGGGGGGGGTCTTTCCCATTGGGTTAAAGAAAAAAGACGGCTGTGGGTGTTTGGGTGTCAAGATACCGGTCGAAATTGAATCCATTTCCATTTTTTTTGCCTCGCAAGAAATACATGTATCAAATTGTGCACCTAATTTTTCCCATTTAAACTGTTGCTTAGACTTAGAACTTAGAACGAATGCGTCTGTGCTTTAATGGTACTGAAAATTCAATTTACGATGTATTAATGTAGAATGTATATATATTGCTTTATAAACACATATAATATGCAACTGTAATTATTAACAAACCTTTTTAAGGGTGGTGGGGGTAACTTTGTTTTGTTTTTGAGATTTGACGATAAAGTTTTTACAAGCATTTAAGCATTTGAAATAATCAACAGATTAAATGTTGGAAGGGGGGGGGGGGTCATAAACTAAATGAATCCTCTATAGATAAGTCATAACTTGAATTTTCAATGCAATCCTTTGTCAAGAACACAGATAAGAAAATTCATAAAATTCAATAATTTGTAATAATATATTCACTTTTCCCCGAATACACTTTTATTTTTGTATGATATCTATGTGCGATATTTACGTGATATTTAACAAACACTTCGTAATCAAGTAATGGTTGAATATTTTACCTTCTGATATTTTAAATAATGTGCGTTTCTCTGAACAGATTAATAAAGAATCAAATAATGAAGCATTTTAGGGAATATTGTCATTATTAAGCTTATCGTCAGATTTGATAAAAACTTTTTACAATAAAAAGAAAATAATTTCATTTAAATGAAAATTATGCCTGTTTTGTTTTTACAAATAATTGAATCAAAGATTTCACGCCCTTTTTACAGATGTGCTTAAACGGTTTCATACATGTTTATAGTTAAGAAAATTTGATGTGTATTATCTTAATTTTGTATTTTTCATAAAAATTCTTTCGTTTCCACATATGGCTTTTCAACATCACGTAAATATCTAGGTGTAAAATTAGCCCGCATTCATTTCGAAGGAGGTGAACAAAACACAGCATGAAGTATGTAAATCAAATTGTGATTTTTAATAACTATACACCTTCATGTTTCAAATGACATATAAAAGTATTAGTTTTAGTTCACAAAATTTTTTGACTTTTCCCAAAGTCGATTTGGCACTATAGATTGAGAATGTGTGAATATATTAATTTTAGTCCTTTTGATTTCCTTTTGGGTCCTTTTGGGTAAATCGACGCACGCAACCTCGGCTGATTCCGTGGACTACATCAAAGTTAGATGAGTTAGGCCGAGGTGTGCCGAGTGACGTTTTCCAAGAATCTTAACAGATTTAGAACTAACTTTCATTTTGAAGAGAAATATCGGGGGGGGGGGGGGGGGGGGGTGGTTGGATTATTAAGTTATTTCAAATGAAGGGCCACGCCCTCATTCAAGGGCAGATAATTGGGAAT